CATAAGCTACAGTGTAGAAATGGCAATGAAAATCTTATGACCCAAGCTCCTTGTACATTAAATAGTGTACTTCTTGTGTTCCAGTTCACTGCTCAACAAATTTCATCACAATGCTGATGTTTCAAGAGTGTTAAATATGCACCTGGGGTGTTTAACTTCTTGCAAAGATTGGTTCAGTTGATGAAAGTCAGAGAGGAAGAGGCAATGATCAGATGGAAGAAAAACAGTAGGAGATAAGCTGTTGATCTTACTGAAGCTAGGCTAGGTGGTGCTGAACATTTAAAAACTTGAGCGTGACTACTTATTGGACTTTCTTACGTGGTCATTGGTTTTCAACTAGTTTCAATGTGTCTGTCTTCATACATTCAAGTCCTGTATGAGTATACATTTACTTTTAGAAACAAGCAAAACATTACTGTGAGAGTTCAACATGGATTCAGGATCTGTAACAAGACCCATAAGATCCCTAAAGAGACAGTTTGCAGCCTTGGGTTGAGTCAACATACTGTCTCTGTCTTCAAAATGTCAAGAAAATGCAAAGGTAGGGATCAAGCTGTGTTCTAAAGCAAGCGTGAGATGAATGCAACCATTGGTGGATGTCAAAGCCTAAAGCTATACCCCCAAATCAACTTTTAAAAGGTGCAAGGCAAACACCTGGGAAGGACACTAGGTGAGGAAAGATTATATTTGATGATACTTGATGTTGACATGGTATTTCAAAGGAGTGACCTTGCTTGGATCAGGGAAACTTCTTAAAGCAGAGGTCAGGGATCGTGCCTCGATGTTCATACTTAATATTCAGGGCATTGTGGATTTTATATTTGCTGCGTTTTTTAAATAACAAATGGACGAGTGTTCCCCGTTGAATGCAATCTATATGAGTGAGAGCTGTGTTTTTATTCTTGGCAGGAAGTCGAGCTTTTGGCTGAACCTTTTTGTCAATGCTGTTTTTGATTTTCATGTGAATCATCTCTAGTTTAAAGCAGAGGAGTAGAGAGTGCACTGGTGATGCCTTCAGGTTTTCACTTCTGCTTTTCGCCGGTGATTTAGTCCTCTTGGCGCCTGGCTTGCACTGGGCGTCGTCTGACGGAGTATAAAGTCGTTTGGATGAAATACAGCAGCTACAAGTCCGATGCTAAATGACTCTGCCAGGTTCATATTCCCCTCTGGAGTTGCAGAGTGAGCTGCTGCCCCAAGTGAAAGAGTTTACCTCCACCCAGATAGTGTTGAAGTGAGAATAACACTGCCCTTCTCCAGGCCTCTCCCCATTGACTTCAGCCCTGCAGACATATTGGCTGCCACTTGGCCAGAAAAAGAAATAAAAACAACATAATTGGGCAGTTTTCTTTGACAGAAGCACATCTCAGTGATTGCTTTGCCAACCTTGTTTCAATTTTCCACCTGAGATTGTGCATTATTCTCAAATGCAGGCAGCCATCCTTCCTGCAGTTATTATGTTTTGATGGCGTCTGCGAAAACTGGGTCTGTGATAAGTAGGATGTGGGAATTGGGGTGAGACAAGGACAGAAGTCAGACAAACGGAACAAAGATGGTGAAAGTAGAAATGCTCAGGCAGAAGCTAAGGTGTGTAATTGTTTGTTTGGATTTGACTTGGAACTGGGATTGTTAAAGATAGTGTTAAAGAGGATTTAATGCAAGTGTGACTCAGGAAACCGGTGCCATGCTGTGCTAAAATGTTGCCTCAGTTAAACCCCTCGGGGCGGGGGCAAAATGCAACATCTTGCAAGAAACAGCGTCTGAGGGCTTCTTAATATTTAACAAACTATGAATGTGTCATACCCACTTAACGGGAAGAAACTCAGCTTTCAGACAATATTAACAAGTTTTAGCTAAACGAAACACAAGGGTAATAACAAAGGCTCCGAATTAGCCCCGAGTGAAAAAATGCTAACGCACTTAGCACAGAACTCAAGGTAAAATACCCTTATTACTTATCGGATCTGCACAAACAAGATATTGATTAGCAAGCTGAGATTCCACAGATTCCAGACATATAAGTATCAGAACTGAGCGATCAGAACTCGCGGCGAAACGACAACAAAAAAGCTTTACGCAGCCAAAACGGCTAAAAACGTCTTACCTTTGTTGTTTTCTGATCAAAAGTTGTGTTCAATGGCATTAAAACGAGAAAAACGCTGCTGAAGGTTAATCCATAGGTTAATCCATAGGTTAATCCATAGGTTAATCCATAGGTTAATCCATAGGTTAATCCATAGGTTAATCCAATGTGTCCGTGTCACTTTGAAATGATTACTGATAATCCATCATTCCATTTGTATGTCAATAACGGAGTTTTCATATTAGCTGCTACGATAGCTACCAGAGTGTATCGCAGCTTCCGGTTCCGGGGCATTCTGGCTGCGCAGCACTCATTCACCAATGGGTAATTTTTAGATGGATTTAGGAACTTCCCCTCGATTCTATTGGCTCTAACGGTTAAAAAGAGATGTCAATCATCAAAATCGACCAAGGGGGGCCGGAGATATGGAAAATGCACCCAAATGACCCCAAAGGTGGTTTATTTTGTTGCTAAACCTCTCTAAAAAGGTCAAATGTCACTTGTTTTGCATCAATCTTGATACATGGTACTTATTATATGTTATAGTGTGGATTCCTAATGCTTTTAGTCTACTATCCCATCATTCAAGGATGGTTTTCACTATAAGTAATGTTTTATCTTTGGACGGACACTATAATTTACATTTTTTTACTATGTTCAATCTGAATTTACTTTAAAATAAAAAAATTCTATATCCAACTCACAGGTTGCTGCAGCACCTCTTTTCACCATCTGTCTGAAACCAGAGCCCAGTCTGCTCTGATTGGTTAGCTGTTTCTGGATTTTAGCCTTTGCAGACCATTTACATGCACACAAAAACGACATAATACACTACATGAAAGGGGAAACCCCAAAAAGCACAATAGAGCCTCTATATTAGAAAGAAGCCATTTAGTATCCACAGAACTTATTTTAGTTTGATCACTGCTTTCCTATTCCTTACAAAGTCACTTGTGAATTTCTTAAGTACTGTCGAACTTACTCACAATGCATCCTCTGTCTTCACATGAAGCACTTCAGAAGATTTCTGGGATAACATGAAGTGCGTTGGTGTAACAATACCATGAATAACCAAAGCTTAAGATAAGGACATTTGAATATTGGCTTTAAACAAAGATCCTGTGCAGCAATACATTGAGAGAGAAAGACAGAATAGCTAAAAAACACATTAACGTGTCAAGAGTATTGAGTCCTGGCTTCCCTTCACCAGTCATCTGTAAGCTTATTGACACAATCGCAATACAGCAGACATGATTACGCTTCAAATCTGGCCTCTTTTTAGGGTTCCAAGGCACTACGAATACTGCAGTTAATTAACTTCCCACCCACACATGAAACACAGCCATTTGCATCCAGGAATTGAAATGGCTTGGCAAACAATTTGCGTTCAGCTTCCTAAATTGGTGCACAAACTGACGTGACATTATACGCCTTAGAAACCCTGGCACTGGTGCTGCTCAGCCTTCATGGGTAATAAGCAGCACGTCCAGGTGAAATGAGGTTGTGGGTAAAATGTTTGTGAATCAATCGTTTTTTTTCCTCCTCGCCATTCACTTCACCAAACTGAAAACATAATGACATTCATCACTTACTAATGGCGCATTTCCACTGCAGGGCCTCGCTCGGCTTAGTACGGTATAGTTAGGCCTTGTTAGGACTGGCTCACTTTATGCTGCGTTTCCATTACAGTTTAGTAGCTGGGGCAGTAACTATAGTAACGCAGTGTAGGCGGAGCCGTGACGTCATCTTCAATGAGAAACACAGAAAAACAACATCAGCCGTTAGCTGTTAGCACTCAGAGCTCACAGCTCCTCATATCTGTTCAGAAACTAGACAAAAGTTAAACAAGTACAAACCACAGACTGCCTGTGTCATGGCGAATACAGTCGCTGCTTTATTTATGTCTGTATAGGCCGTTGTTGTGAGTGTGGACGGTCGGAGCATATACTGCGTTAGCTTAGCCAATCTCCATTCAGAAAACACGCATTTTAAAAGGTTTTTCGCCTGCCGTCTGTCTGCAGACTTGTCAAAGCATTAATTCATGGTTTTTACTAACCGGTATCAGTATGTTGTTACTTCGGCATCATTTTGAAACGTGTATTACAATTACATCACGGTCAAATATGTTCATTTTGTTGTAGTTGTAGCCCCCTTGCCAGCGATTCTCTCTCTCTAGTTTAGCATACTCAGCCTGGTTGTTGGCCCGCTAAGAACCTCGATTTTATGGGGCCAGAAAAACTGTGAAAAAGTACCCGCTAGCCGGAACTACGCCAAGTGGAAACGCAACCAAAAACGGGCCGGGCACGGGCTCCGCGCTGTAGTGGAAATGCGCCATAAGCCACTAGACATTTTTACAATTAATAACTTTGGTAGTCCACTTTACATTTGTCTATTTCCTTATAGACGTTCATGACAGGCCGATGCAAAGCATGATTAAGCAAAACGCTTCAGATCCTACTTGAGATTCTGCTTCCTCGCCGTCTCATCCTCCCTCTGGTTGGATTTGGTTGAATGTGAGTTATTGCCTCGGGGAGATTGATGGGAACCAAACACCTTCACTGGCACTCGGAGACATTCTCGCCTGGGTGCTACACACTGATTGGTTTTGTGTCTATGTGTGTGTTTGTATGCACATGTGCAACACTCTACCTCATATTGATTCTGCTGCGGTCCCTTATCCATATCGTCCTTTCTCTTGACATTAAGGCCAATTGTATGCGTTGGCCTTCCTCGGTGTGAATAAGAAAGGACAACACACTCACACAGCTGTTCTCATAGTTTCACCGCTGATTGACAGACTGCTCTTGCTTTCTTTCCAGCTGTGTCGTCACAGTACGCATGTTGAACACTGAATAACTTTCTCTCCTCCTTTCTTCTTCCACTCTTCCCCGCTCTCCTCCTTTTCTTATCTGACACACAGGTGGACGCCGGTTGGATTGGTTTCTGGTCGACTGTCGGTGGATGCGTGTTTGGAGTGGCAATGGCCAGGTGAGCAACTGCACAGATACTTGTTTATACTGAATTATGTCACAAGGCATGATCATTGAACATGTTTTTCTAGTGAAAAGACGGTAAGAGGGTGATATTGTCCATGCAAGTCAAGGCTACAAAAATCCAATGTTGACTTTTCAAATTACAACACTTTGGTCTGGATGCAAGGAGTTGTAGAAGAGTGATAAACAACATAGAGTATAAGTGCAAAATGAAAATGCACTGAATTCAGGTAAAAAATAACCTTATTTTTAAGACAGTACTCTGTTTATTTAAATGTGGATGTGCTATACAATTACTATCCTATTATTGATCAGAAAAATAGTCATATCGTCTATAACCGCGCACCCCTTATCTAGAAGAAAACCTATCCTCTTTACTGTAAAACAAGGGGTCACCCACTACATTTGTCCAAGGGCCAAAATTAATCCAAGAGACACTTTCCGGGGCCAGAGATTTTTATATATAAATATATATATATAAATCATAATAAATTATATATATATTTTATATATATATAATTGATTAATATGTTCACTTTTTTTTATAAGCCTGTATCCGGGGTAATAAAACTGAAAGCAGTCCTGATTGGGAAAGGAATCAACTTTTTTATTAATACCGTGTCCTGATTGGTGGGAAACGGTTGCAGGATATAAGAAAATTGTTTGCCAGGCACGCATATCTTAAATAATGTATGCACTGCCATTTCCCCACATAAACATAACAGTCTGCAATGAGACAGTTGTCTCCTGTGTGCTCCACTTCCTCCTTGGCGCACCGGTAACTTTCTTGTTAACCCGTTTTGGTTTAAAAACAGAATAAGGTCGGTTTTATCTTTTTATAAAAGTAATCATCATCTTTATATATATATATATATATATAATGTATCACCTATACAGCACCTTTGGGAATGTAGTGTCTTGATCAAGGACACAACAACGTTTTTTGACAAGCGTGGGGCTCAACCCGTGTAACTCGTGGTGACATGAGTGGGGCGCGAATGCACTAACCACTCCGCCAACGCCACAGTCCCCCCTGCCGTGCGGGCCACCAGTTGATGGTCACTGCCTTACAACAACATAATCCTCTGACCGGGGTAACCTTTATGCAGCTTTCTCACTCAGTTGACTATGTGACAATCCCATTGTGTGGCTGTTGAATACTGGGGATATATGTACAATTAAAGGTTCTTCTGACGTGACATAACACAAAAGACTATTGTGTTTTTGTCCATCCTTTTTTCTGTTTGAAAGCCTTGGCTGTGCTTCTGTTTCCACACCAACAAGATTAAGAGCTAGTGAATTCCCCTCACAGTGTTTTAGCTCTGAACCTGCACACATATTGTACTTCAGTTTATCCCCCTGGCAATAGGAAAGCTGTATGGTTTATATTATTGCTATCTGCACTGTCCCTTGGAGAACGCAGACCTTCTTTAAGGGAAATGGGGTTATCAGGTGCTCCTGGGATGGTCCCAATTCCAGAGTTGGGAAGTTATTTTCCCGACTTGTGTGTTCATGAGCTTTAAATCACATTGTGGAAACAAAATTGGAAGCTACGAAGACATTTTAAAGTACATTAATGCTGAGATTCATCAACCCCACATTTACTTTTGTCCACCATTTGACGGCAAGTCTGTGAAAGCCAAAAAACGTCCGCCAACGCTTCAGGTTATTGTTTTCTGACTCATTATACATTTTCAGTTGGGAAGTCACGCCATATTAATGCAGCACAAATGGCCTATAGTGCTAAGGAAGCAACACATTATTTATCCAGATCAGCTTAAAATGTAATTGGTCCATTCTTGACCCATGCTACACCCTTCCGAGAATCTGGCGCTTTCCCTTATTTTCAATCTTCTGACAGACAACCGAAGATGAAACAACAACCTCCTTGGTGTTATTAAGGATTAAATCTCATATAAATAATAGCTGCTGGATGCATCGAGACCTCTCTCTGGCTCCCCCTGATCTCATCTCCTCCCTTTTAATATACGCTGTGATGCAGCTGTGATAGAGTGAAGGGAATAGATGCTAATGCAACAGCCACTTCACCTCCTCTGATGGATAGAGAGCCTCAGCGTAAGACAAAGTGTGGAGTCAGCAAAGCAATGGATTCATTCCCCGCTCTGACGGATATATGTTTATCGCAGACTGAGGCCCAATCAGCACTTCCAGGCAGGCCCAGTGTTTCCTAAAAGCTGTAATCAGGGAAATGAGCCCATAACTCTCACTGTTAATCAATGAAGCTGTTTGCAGCACGAGATGAAACTGTATGTAAACAGAGCGGCTGAATTATTGGTGTTGATTATATAAACCCTGAGTCACTGGAGGAATTGATTAGGCTCTGTTCGGGTGCAACAGTTGATAGTTAAATACAAAATCCAGCTTTTACAATTGGTCATGTCGTTTGCTTTACATGCTGTTCAGAGGTTATGGATCTCCTGCCACTGACTATTGATTAAGTGTTGCAAGATGACTGAGAGGAATATTATTTATTTTGTCATCGTCTTTCATGCTTTTAGGTTGTAGAAAATCCTCTTTAAGGGTTTGTTTTGAACGTGGAAAACTGAACGCTGACACCTCTGAGCAAGATTTAGATTTATTGTCCCAGAGGGATATTTAGTTTTACAGCCAGTACACAGAAACATAGAGATATACACAAAGCAATACATAGATATAGAAAAATAAATAACAGCTTCCGGCATACATTAATTTAGATATACCAGCTTACAAGTAATGTCCGCAACGCTTATTTTTAACATTTCAAGCATCTTTTATTCTTCAATTTAGTTTCTATTCAGACCTTATGTGTATAAATGTAACTCATGCTTTTCATGTAATACAATCGTTATAAGATTATGCTTTGTGTATATCTGCTAGTTAAGTATTTCAAGTGTTATTGTCTATTTATTTTGAAGAAATGTGTAAAGTTGTTTTTAAAAAGTACTCAACAATTAAACCTTTTATCTAGTTATTTGAAATTAAGCTAAACAAATAGACAGTTATTATTATTATATTGATATATTTAATGTTTTATTGGTCTATCAAAAATAGTTAATAGCATCATAATACAATTATAATACCAAAATATGTCACTTTTAACTGTGAAATAGTGTTTTTTCAATATCATTCTTCTCCCGTACACTACAATGTTAATTTCCAGACTTTAATTGACCGTTCAAGACTTTAAAAACTCTTTAATAAAAACTATTTTTTAGATCAAGCTTGTTCAGGTTTCAGAGTTATAAAGGCTCTTTGAATATTATTATACATATATCCCATTCTGTTATTTTGATAATGAACATTTCCAATACAGTTATTGCACTTTAATGATCTATTATCTCCTAATCTTAAAGGTTTTTTAATACCGTTTAACCCAAGCCCCCAGGAAGTGCGCCGGACTCTGAGGAAAATATTCGTTGTGGCCAAATGGCGGTACTACACTTCCGTATCAGTCGCTGGGCCCGGAAACACTTTTCCCCATTGACTAACATTGGGAAAGAGACGTCTGTAAATCGTTGGATAATTTTTTTTAAACTAAATAAACTACCCAGTATGAACACTTGTATAGCCCTTATTAAAAACATTTGGTCCTCAAGTTGTAAAATGTGCTAATAACGTTATTCTGAGAGTTCTTTTCCTCTGCATTATGAACGCGCATCTAACCCACGGGACCGCGCCGCCCGGCACATTCATGTGACGTGTTCAGTACTACATGAGTTTTACCTTTACCCATGGATGCACAATAAGAACGGATTATATGAATACTTTCGGGAAGTTTCGCTCTCTCAAAAGTTGGGCCATTTTGTCTTCATGCGCCAATGAGCAACTCTCATAGGAATGAACGAGGCCCCGCCTCCCACGCTGTATCCAGTTCTTATTATACATCCATGGTTTAACCACACACCTTTTGTATTGTACACCATGGGTGTTTCTCAATCGCGAGTACGCTTGCTTGGTAGCACATGTCTGCCGAGCATCTTGCTTCAGAAGCGAGTCAAGAATACTTCCTGGCATTCGGAAAACGAAGAGTGGAACACGCTAGCAAGTGTGCAGGTGTGCGTCATATGAAAGGCCCCGCCTCTTACATCTTCCGCCACAGATTTGGGGAAATTGGTCCATGCGCAAAGCATTGTGGGGATTTTAAGACCGCGGAGTCTACTCATGTGCAGCCTCGATATTTCTCCAAACGGAGTACGCCGGGCTCGGTAGATTTCCAAGTATGCTGGAGATTGGAACAGTACTTCGGCGGCACTCGATGACGTAGTATGCTTGAAATAGTGGCTCTGAAGCAGCTTTACTCGCAATTGAGAAACACCCCATATGTGTATAATAATGCTATGCTAAGCTACATCTTGATTTAAGTGCGTTTCTCGGTCCCTCACAACAGGAAGCAGACTCTCATTAATTATCATCAGGCACGGGGCTCATGACTTTCTTCCCTTCTTGTCTTTGATTGGTCGTCCGTTGAGATGAGCCTCCAGTTACAATCAGACGAATGTCCTTTGATTACAGAAATACCTCAAAATACCCGAAGAAATTAAACCGTTTATTTAATTTATTCGTTCTCTTATTACTCCCTTAAAATTAAATACTGCTTATCTGCGGTTTTCTTCCTCCTTCTTCATTAATTTCCTGCAATATGGCTCCATTAGATTGCAGTAATGAACTGAGCAGAGAGCAGTTTTTCGTCCCTTGTCTCACCCAATGGCAGCGTTTTAAGACATTAATGTGAGGATGTGACTTATTATTTGCCACTAGCTGTCCCTCAGCGAAGCACCGCACCAACGCTGAGCAAAGCTTGCCACAGGGGGCAGAAAACTACCCTCTTTTTAAATGCTTTTTGTGCTTGCAGTTTCATTTTTTAAGTGGCCTCTTGGGAAGTGTTATGTCTTGGGGGATTAGCACTTGCCCTTTGCCCAAAAAATAAACACTCTCTGCTTGCAAAAATGTTATATCTTGTGTCTTGCCGGTGGATAGTTGAATGGCGGGTAGATT